TACCTAGGAGATCAGGCATGATGGCATGTAACAGTGGATATAATTGCTTTGTCCTATTTCTTTTTCCTCTCCTCCTCTCTGAGTTGGAGGTAACCAAGGAAAATGAGGTGACACGTGAGAGCGTCAGCTTTCTCTGTCAAGGAGCCTGATGATCTCTGTCACACTTCCAGAAGCAAATGTCATATTGGCTGCATTCCAATATTTTGTTGGTGAATCTGGCAGTGTTTTCCCCTCATCCACATACATTTGGGAGATTAGTATAAGTCACCTGTTTTATATTGATGTAATGCAAGAAGTAGTGTAGCAGCAGCTGTGTTCTGGCTGAATATGTTATTCTGTCTCTGTTTCACAGGGCTCATAAACCCTAAAATCATGTTTCAGTTCTGCACACGTGCTCCACAGGACTGTAAATACCCAGAATCAAACAGTGAGCTAAGGTAGAGCAGTAATCCAACCCAACGCAGCCAGTTGAGGGGATTTTCCTCCTCTGCTTTACAGATACTATGGATAAAAATTGTCTTATTTTCTCTGCAACACTCATGAGTCAGAAAATGTGTTTTTTATTCTTGCAGGACATATCCTACTTTCCATAACCATGAAGGATAAGGATATCCAAGGTCCCTTGTTAGTATGCAAAACAATGCTACATATTTTACACCATGTCTCATTTCCAATTGAGAATGGAGAAAGCATGAAAAATATGCAGGAGATTACTGTGTTTAACAATTTGGTTCTGCTTAATAGTGACTGCTTTGATTTGGTCTCAGGCCCCTGAGTTGAGCATGGATGAGGAATGATTGAGATGCATGGAGGAGCTTGTTCCTGGCTGCCTGCACTGCTAAGCAGGCCCACTTCACCATAATAAGAGGTCATCCCTGGTGGAGTGTGGAAATGTGTCTAATTAAAATAAAATGCTTTATCAAGAGCGGAGGCAAAGTGAGCAGTGTCAGTAAAATAAATAGCCAGCAATTTCCTGAGATTCATATTCTGATAAGCGTCTTATGAAAACAGTCAGTCCACTATCTAATGAAAAGGCTTCGCATCATCAGAGGACTTCGGCTAAGTTTCTCTCCTGCTTTTGCTGTTTCTCTCTCATCCTCTTCCCGGCCCCTGTTCTGAGTGCGCACGTGTGTGTAGTGGTGAGCATCCGTGCATATATTGGAGGCTGAGTGTGTGCATGAGAGATAAACGGTACAACCAACTGGAAGTCTTCCTATTTTGTTAAGCATTAAGGATTTTGTTCACCTTTATGCAGGAGTATAAGTTAGTGCCGTGGGCAAAAACTGCTTAATTGTTTTTATATATCATCATTATTCATCTTAAGTGACAGCTCAATTGTAGCACTGATGTGTTGAAAGATGGACCATCTGTACTTTTGCTACTTTCTATCTTTCTCAGTTTCTCTTTTTTTTTTTTGAAGTGCCATGTTTGCAAACTGAGCCTATGATTTGTTGCCCCAAGTCTGATGTGTGAGATTACAGCACAAGGCTGCAGCTCATGGCGTGCCTCCATGCAAGGACAAAATAATAATTATAAAAAAACTATTTAATACAATGCCTCACTCAGCAAACACATCAGAGCTTTTCACAATTACCACGTCTCCTGTGATTACATCTCTGTGGAAATTAATTGCTATTTTAATTTTGTTTTTTTTTTCATTGACAAATGCTGACAAGCTTAGGAAGTGCCTCCAATGAGAGATTTACATTTGGAGCACAGATCAGACACAGATTGACGCATCGTGTAAAGCTGAACCTCAGGTTGAGCTGTTTTCCTTGGTGAGGAGCGAGAAAGTCACAGATGTGAAACCTTTTCAACTCGGTGAGATCATCACTCTGATATTCCCCAAACAGTCACAATCAGACTCGACCTGGACATGATTGATATTAGATTTGATTTTCCTTCTCTCCTTCTTACAGTAACTTCCTAGTGTGAAACATTTCTCTTCGGTGTTGAGCAGGAGAACGGCCATCACAGCATGGTGGTGGGCTGCACAGGCTCCATCAGTGGGCCATTACTGGTGTAATGGGCCACTTGTACCAGTGTGGCGTCTGTCTGTCACAGTGTATACTGTATGTGCACATTTGCTGATTGTATGGCATCAGTCCCTAGAGCCTCTTGAGTATTTATCCATTACCCACTCTAACAGGTGGATGGTGGGAAGTAAGTGGCAGGGGTGAACTTCCACGGCAGACCGGGTTCAAGTCCCAAGGTGCATGCTACTCATTCTGGACTTGTCAGCTGACAGCCCAGCAAGAATCACATAAATGAAAACAAATATAACTCTGCTTTGCTCTTTACCTGCAGGGTAAAATGAGAATAGACTGTACTGTATGTTTGTAATAAGGTATGTATTTGTGTGTACGTGTGTTAATGTTATGCTTAAACTGATCTGTTACTCCTTCTTGTTGCTCGCATTATTGTACATTCTGTACAGTCGAATAAAAACAAAATTAAATACGGTGATTGACTGGTATAAATCATAATTTGTCCCTTTAATAGCTGACATTGTTTGAGATGAGAAATATTTGCCATCATATGCATAACAGTTTCCTGTCTTTTGTTTTTCTCTGGTCAGGCCGCCGGCTCAACACGGCTCAGAGAACAGAAGGAGTTTCAGTGCAGTCGACACGTTGCCACATTCCCTTGTGATAGCTTCAAATATGGCTTGAGGGTTGAAGAATTAAAGGCATCACAAAAGGTCCCTTTGAAATCTTCCAACTTAGTGTGAAATCGCTGTGTGCAAGCACTTTGATCAGACCATGGTCAAGTGGCAGCCCTGCAGCTGGCCATTTTCCATATTATCCTAGGGAGCATCATTCCCGGAACTCTGCACTCCTCTCCACCTCGCCACTGTTTGATTCCTCACTGAACTGATATTCCAACTCATAAGCTTTGTGCTTGGCCACGAATTGAAAACCAATGTACCAATGAGTCAAATTCCTCGTGTGTCTGACACACCTGGCCCTGCTCCCTCTCTGTCTCACATCACACGTGCCTTACAGCATCCAGCCGCCTGCTACGTCCAGAGATAAACAGTGAGTAGTGCACATCACACAGTCCTAATTCCAGGAATTCACCTCTTCACCCACTGTGGGTTTTGAAACCTTGGAGTGTCTTCCTCGACCTCTTCACTTGAAAACAGTCTGTCTACCAGGCTAGATTCCAAACATAAACATGCTGTAAATATAAAGAGACCAGTGGCTTGTCTATCTGTCAAAGCCCTAATGATCAGTGATGTCTGCTTTGATTTCATAATCAATGTGCTCAGGTGCTTGTACTGAAAGTAGCTGAGTTATATCACTTAGGATGTGGACCATCTTGACACAGTGTAAGAGACCCAGGGGTTTAATGAAGACCTCTGACAACAGGTGCATCTGTGAGTTATGAGCACATCAGTAAGCATCTGCTGTATCTTTGCAATGAATTAAGGTGCTTGAAAGAGCAAAGACACAGGGGCAAGCTTGATAAACAGGCACAAAAGTATTGATGTTTTCCCCTTAGACTGCCTGTCACGTGATATTTGTGTGTGTTGACTAAAAATAAAACCATATTTAAGGACGTTTAAGAAATGAATGCCATTATATCAGTGTTATATATAATGACTGAAAGGCTAACTACAGCTACAGTCTTTGCAATGTGTCTTTTTAAAAATGTTAATGATGTAAGCTACATATTTTCCTTGTCTTTTCTTTTTCACTTTTAGAGAATGTGCAACCCGCCTCACTCGATATGTGCCCTCAAGTGAAACCTGACTGATGGAATCGTGTTGTATGTAATTAACCCATTTGCCAAAGTGAAGTTTATCTATCGTTTATCTCTGCACAAAACAGGCAAAACTTCTTCCCATCATTTCTGTGCAACCTCTTTTTCAATATGAATTATGTTCCAATCAAACAACTCATGACTTGTTCCGAACAGGGCCATGAGTAATGGAGAGAAGACATCTGTATTTGATTACCCCTGCTGCCCAGGGTTGACTGAGGTCCATTTGAAAGGTAGTGCGGCAGAATTCCAACATGGACACCCTCCAGCTATTGACCCTGCCTCTAAGTGGGTGCTGTGCTTTTAGTGTACTTACACCGCTTGTTCCACGTCTTCTTCCTCCTGGCACTTTGGCAATATGTTTGATGGCAGACACTGGCTCCCTTTGCCCCACTCTGCATTATTGACGCTTTAGAGAATATGGATGGCCTTCTTTTTGTCATGACCCACTAAGGGCGCAGATCCGGTAAGAGCTTGATGCAAGTGAAATGTATAACTATCTAAATGTCATTCCATCATTGTAATAGAAAAAAAAGATTTTGTTGTAAACAGGATCCAGTTAATGGTCTGGAAGAAAGAAGTGCAGAGGAAGCTAAATGTCAGCACTTGGCAGCTAATATTGAGCTCACTGATTAAATATTTATCTTTTTATGAATCAAAATGAAAGTTATGATTGGCAAGTACTCCTTGGGTGTCTTCCCATTGAAACTGATACAACTGAGTAATGTCTGTGGCCCAAGTAACATAAATTTTCGTAGATTTAAATGTGAGACAAAAACAGGAAGCGATAACGCACTGTCACAAAGATCTGTGTACCACTTAGCACATGCTTCCATCCAAAATGCCTTACATGAACAGTCAGAATATGCTTTGAAGAAATGTGGTTCCTGAACTCACCACTTACCTGAGCTGCAGAGCACCATGTGACCGATGCCATGGGAGACTTTAGGGAAAACGTTAAGCTTCTAAAAACTTGTTTCTGACATTCTCTTCAAAGATGAAACATTCTTCAGCGGAGCAGTAAATGCATTTCTGAGCCAGAGAGAGAACGGAGGAGAGCAAATCAAATGGTAAATATACAGAGAAATAATAAGGCAGAGAGGGAAACAATGAAGAAATCACAGAAGAGAAAGAGAGAGAGAGAGAGATGAATGCGAGCAGAAGCAGGTGCACAGTTCGACCTATAGGTGGCACTACTCTAACAGAAACCGTTGGCTGGGAGCGTCACTGACTGGGTTCAGTCTGTGCTGCGCAGACAAAACTATGTGATGGGTAAGACATTTTTCTTTTTAGAAATGTGATGCACTGCTGTCAGTGTTTCATCGGTACAGTAAAGATTTCTTCCACTTCTACTACTATTATTAAGAACTTTACATCTGTATTGTCTCACTTTTGTAGAGTTCTCAATACGATTTAGAAACTTCAGTGCGTACCTTTTTTTTGGGGGGGGGGGGGGGGGGTT